GATCGATGCGTCGGCAACCTATGATCCATTGGTCCAAGGCGTAGGCCGTCTGGGTGTCGATGGAACTATCACGCAAGATGGGCCACGCACTGATGCCGTAGAAGATCTCGGGTTCCAAGCCGCTTTGGAACGCCAACGACGAAGGCAAGAAGAAGCTGATCGTCTCGCTTGTTCTTTAGAGAACAAGGATGCTTGCACTATGTGCTCTGGTTAGATACTCCTCCATAGTTTGCTTAGGTTTTTCCACTCCTTATCCCCATCCCCAACCTTCCCCACCAAGCTTATCGGACATCTCACGTGATGTCCCTATCTTGGCAGCGTCGGGTGGTTTGCTCGGCTGCACAGCTCCAAACACGTACCTTGAAGATCGGCGTCGCGCTTTAATTGATTTTCATGGCTCCCCCGCGAATGTGCGTTATTTTTGCAGCTGACCGTTTTTAGCCAGCTTCGTCCGCCGCCCAACCGTGGGTTTCTACAGGGATACCCAGGGATTCCCGCTTCAGAAACGCGCCCAGCAGCTCATCTTTCAGGAATCATTGTTGTCCATGCAAATACACCCGCAGTCGAGGCCGCTTGGCTTCGTATAGAAATGGCCAAGATCGAATCCTTGCCTACGGGCGAGTCTTGGACAGAGCTGATTGGTGAGGGTCCTATGGATGTTTGGGCTGCAAAGGGCGGCTTACATGTCGATGGTGAAGCTTGGGCACCATTACCTGCAGTATGTATCTCCACTGCTAATTCAGCGCCAATTCCCTTTCCGTGTACCAATCCCTGAGAAACTTCCTGGGTCTCTTCGGTTGGAGAAACATGGAGGAATCAGGTATGAACTGATCGCAACACTTTGTGCTCGCACAAAAAAGTACGTTAGCTATCTTCTGACACGTAAGAGGGTTTTTAAGAAGAAAGCTCGTCAAAATCAGCGTTAGTGACACTCGGGATATCCTGCTCGAGAAACACGAACTACACTCGACTTGGCCGTTATACAAGTGTGTATCTCTCTCAAGCCACTCACCTTTAGTGTTCCCGAAGAGTACGAAGAATCCCAGGGCGCTTTCCGTGTTAAGCTCTATCGGAACAAAGAGTTCTTTGCACCGCTCGACTCGATCGATCTTCGTTTGATCGTCTACAGCAAATCTTTCGACCCGGCAAAACTGAAAGGAGTCAGTTTAAGTGTGCGCCAAACAGTCACCTACCTGCCGTCTTCACGTAGCCAACTCAGCTCTGATCAAGGCCCCAACAGCGTCCAACAGCGTTCAGACGTCTTGGCTCAAAAGACCAAGAACCTTCGCAAAAAACTCCTCCCGAATGAGTTCATGATGTTTGATCTCAGTGTAGAAATCCCTAAAGCAAAAACTCTCGCCACAGTCACCACCGCAAAACATATCGAAATTACCCATTCCTTGCGTGTTGCTGTGGAAGTCGGTAAGGAATGCGTAGTGTTTGAGCGTTTGAAGTTGCAAATCTCTTCGTTCACGTCCTCCGTCAGCACATCAACCATGGCTCGCATCGGCAACGTCCCCTCTTTGTGTCTTGAGCCGAATCCTACCTCAACTCAACCCACAGAACCCTCGCTAATGCAACAACGCGAAACGCAGTTCACAAGTCCTCCTATGTCGCCCATGCACTCTCCGCAAGATTCGCGCAACCGCTTCGAGGTCTATGAACGGTTGCTTGTGAATGGCTCAGATGGCATCCCGCAGCTTCAGAACGATGCAACGTTCTTGGGTACACCGACCCCGCGTCGTCCTCTTGTTTTCCAGACAGATTCCAATCCTTCTCCCATCGATTCTCCCTCGCCGGTGAGCAGTAAAACACCACCTCGCCAACGACCCGCTTCCGTCATGGCACAAACTACCTTGATGCAGCTACCAAGCAACTTTGTTCGACCTGGCGATCTACTTCCTTACGAAGGGGGCATTGCATCCCCTTCTCGTCCTGCAAGTCGTAGAACTTCTATGTTACGTATGCCTCAAGACTCTCCTACCAGCCAGCGCTCCAATCGATTCCGTGCTGCATCTCCTACGTTTGCCGAGCCTATCCGTGTTCGCCGCTCAGGCAATGCACTTTCTGCACAAGCTTCTGCAAGTCAAGACAATCGCCGGCCTGTCTCTATGATGGCATCGTATCCTATTACAAGCTTCCCTTCTGCAGAAAATGAAAAGTCTCGCCTGTTTGAGCAAGCTCGCGCAGAGGCGGAGCGTTACCAGAGTGGCTATGAACAAGGTGCATCGTTCCCTGCACTTGATCAATCGATTGCTGCACAGCAATCCGATCAGCAATCCCTACCGAACCTGCAACCAGCTGCTGCCACAAGCAGTCGAAATCCAATGCCTTCAGACAATCCCAGACCATCTGCTTCTAACAAGCAATCGCTCTCCTCTCATGACACTTATCCGTCTGCAGCAGACGAGAAACGTAATTTGTACGAACGCGCACAGCAACAAGTCGCCGACTTCCATCGCGACGATCCTTCCTATATGCCATCTCAGGCGTCGATGGCTCCTATTTCTTCGGAATCCTTACCACCATCAGCGTTCCGTCCAGCGAGTGTTATCGGACCGCAACCCAATTCATCCAATTTGTCCGCTTCCAATCGATCTACTTTACAACCTCCGCTATCTCTTATCCCTCCGTCAAACTCAAGCGAGCCTTCAGCACCTTCACCCTACTTGACCGAGTCCGAAGCGCGTGCCGTCGACGAAAAGTCTAGACTTCAACAGCATTTCGCTCAACAAGATACAGCGAATGCTCCCACTCAACAAGCTTCGCGCCCTAATTCGTTGACTATGGCACCGCCTCGGCCTCCCAAAGTCCCTCTTTCCAACATGCAGTAGTTTCCAATTCGTAGCTCAATAGACTTTTACCGTAATTCAGCCTGCTTAGCTAACAGCTCTGCAATTCTCCCTACGTGACAAGCCAAATGCCCAGCAGCATGGCTCGTGCGTCTTTTTGGCGTAGGCATACCAATTCCATGCGCAAGCTCGGTTACCTGCTATTCTCCGTTTTGGCTATGGTGCATACCCAGGCAAAAATCTCAGGATCCAATGTGCCCTATATATACCCAGAACATGCACAAGTTCAAGCCAAGTTGCACCCGGCCAAAATCACGCACGCAAACCCAAACTCCATTTACGACCAAGTCTCGCTAGAGACCGTCGCGAGGCCGGGGAATGCACATTCGCCAGGTTGGACATCACCTAAGGAAGGCGAAGGTAGTATGCTAGATATCACAGGCAATGGGTTCCGTGAACCGATCAATGTCATCATTTCTGGGCACTCGGATCTTTCAGTATTGAGTGAGCACGGTTTGCTCAATTATGTTCGCTCGATAGGGTTTTCGTTTGAGTGCCTTCATCTTCATCTTGGCGGACTCCAGTTCGCAAATCTGGGCGATGGTCATGGCTGGCAACCGCAATTGTTCGAATACCGCAGTCTGATCTATCCTGGGTCTTTAGGCGTATGGCTCGGTTCCTGCTGGGAAAGCTTAGCGGGCGGGAATCATTTCCGTGTTTGGAAGCAGAACGGATCCCTGGCAGATACAGGAGCGTGGTTTCTTGCAGTGTCTAAAGAAGAGGTATGCATATTTATTGACCGATCAAGTCTGTCGCTGAGAAACACACCATCATCCCAAATGGTTATGACCTAGGACGCGATCAGCTTGTACAGGCTGCCAAACGAGGCGGATCATTCAGTGGTGCTTCATGGTATGCAACAGTTGACTGGCAACCTGATTTGATTCCCAGGGGAATACGCAGTATGTGAATGGATTGACCTAGGCATCAATCATAACATCTCAACGGACGGACGTGTGCCAATCTTGACCGTGCATCGCGTTCGATCTATGTAATTTATAGACTCCATTCATATCGACGCTCATGATTTGCCCTGATTGATTGCTGGCCGAAATCAAGTAAAGTAGGCTGTGTATGTTCGTTTTGGGGCTCAATACAGCCATACACATCCCGCTCGACGAACACGGCACGTCGTGGCGCATGTCGCGAAATCATCAGCACAGTCGAAGTTCGTGTTCCGTACCAGCTGGAATGTTTGGATCCGATTACGCCTAGCTGGACGCCATTTGCTTGACTAGGTAGCAGGAACGGCTCAACATGAATGGTTCGTTGCATGTCCTCCCTGCTTCTTATAGGACCAGACGAGTCCAGCAGCATTTCAAACATTCCTTCTAAAATCCCATCCAAGTCAGTTTTTTTCTGCAATATGTCTTGCATTAGTCTTTCTGCTCGATCGATTTTGGGCCATGGTGTAGAAAATGTACTATTGCTCAGACCATAAATGCCTTTGCAACTTTTTTGGTGTGTGTTTTGTAGCAAGTTCCCACTGAATCGGTCGTCACATCGGTTGGTAAAATAGCCAAGCACCGTATCCTGCTGGTCTTTTGTAGATCCAATCACCAAATTGAAACCATTGTATTGGTTTGGCTCCTGCGACACTTGATTCAGGTATGCCTGGACGTCATTCGAATCCGCTTGTTTGCTAGCATACATCTCGAGGAACCCCATTACCAATTCGCCGCGGGATTTCACATCGCTTGACGCACTTCGCTTTTCAGTGGGTTCAGTGAAATTCGTCAATGCAGCAATGGCACCCGTGCGCGTCACTCCAAACCATGTCCCACCTGCCAACGTATCTACCCCACATAAAATGTCACAACGTTGGTCTTTGTCGATCTTTTGCCATTGTGCTTGTGACGCGGGCCGCGCAAGAAATTCGTCCCGATTGTCTGCCAAGATTCAGAATAAAAAGTGCACATACAAACTATAGTCCGGATGCTCTGTCGTCCATAATACAATGCACATATTCCCCAGTGGGGATCGACAAAAAAATGCTCCCAACCTGGTTCGAACAGGTGACCTCAAGAATGACTGAAAACTTCAGTCTTGCGCTCTGCCAGCTGAGCTATAGGAGCCGCAATTGCCAATTTACCGCCCAATTTTGATTACATGGAGGAAACACAAAAGCACTTTCCATTATTAAAAAAGTGCTCCCAACCTGGTTCGAACAGGTGACCTCAAGAATGACTGAAAGCTTCAGTCTTGCGCTCTGCCAGCTGAGCTATAGGAGCAGTTCATTGGTGACAAGTCTTGCAGAAGTCTACATATTCTTGGCAGATACTCACGCAAAGTCGTGTGCGCATCAATTTTTCTTTTTAAGCGGCCGTGCGCAATCCTGGTTGCGCAGCGCTGTAACGATGCTGTTTTGTCCAAATTGCGCAAATGTAGTCACTGTGCTTCCATCATCACTTAGTGGTGATAACAAATGGACATGCCCAACATGTCCATTCGAATTCCCGATGGACAAGCAGGTCACATCACGAACGCGACTGGAACGAAAACAAGTTGACGATGTGATGGGCGGTGAAGATAGTTGGAAAAACGTCGACAGTACCGATGGTATGTCTTGATCGAGACTAACGCAGCGGTTTGCCCGAAATGCGATAATCACCGAGCTTATTTCATGCAGCTTCAAATTCGGTCTGCCGACGAGCCAAGTAAGTGGCCCTATGAAAACTAACACTCCAGTGACCACCTTTTTCAAATGCACAAAACAGCAATGCGGTTTCCAATGGCGCGAAAATTAATCACTTCTACTCGCCTACTTCCTACTTATACCATCCATAGTTTCTCTTCTCTCTGCGTTATCACGCGAGAATCGACCTCCACACTATACCTCCACAAGACTCAGGTGGCTAGGCGTGAATCAGTGAGTTGATAGTTGCACAGGGGATGCAATACGTTGGCGCTGGAATTGATCATGTCAACTATTTTTAAACATTCGTCGGTGCAAGATGCACAGGTAAATCAATCGGATCCTATTTTATCAGAAAGTCCCATTCATTTCTTTGTTTCGCGCTATGCTATCGCGATGGTAGTGATGGTACGTCGATTGTCACTGATTTAGGTCATCATCACCAATCGTATCCAGCATGTATGTACGCCATATGGCCGCCCGGCGCAGATTTCCCCAAAAGAACGCATCTTGTTGCGGCTCCCGTCGATCGGAATGCTATCCTTCGCTTCGTTCAGACTATTGCAAGCTATGTGCGCAGATACTTCCACACCCTCCGCCCAAAACTGGCTGCAATATCTACGTCCATGGATCCCTGCAGCGCCAGGTCATTTGGAACCAAGCTCATTGCTATGGACTGCGTTGCTCAGTGCATGTGTCGCTCAGTGCGTCAGTACAGCCGTGCGGTCTTTGGAGTTAACGTAGGTAAAGAGTCTTACCACAGAAGCTCGCAAGAAGATCCATCTACTTTTAACTTGGTCGGATTCGGGTTTATACTGTACTTGCATGCACATGCACGCCAATTTACCCCCAATGCTCATGTCTACCTTATTGTCATCTCGCGAATTGTGGAATTGCTGGGAATGAACTTGCTTCTGTGCCGAAAACCGCCGTTGATCTCGAGACTAACCTATACAATGCTTTTAAACAGCATCATGACCGTGCATTACCTGTATACTGTCTACTGCTCTGACGAATATCCCATCATACATAGCGGCGGCAGGCTGATGGAAGTATGCATTGTTGCAATGATCGCTATGACGATCGGCCTGCATCTGTTGACGATGTATTTCGTCGATGGGCGTATTGATCTTCATCGTCTGTTTTTCCACCGAAGTACTTTGCCTCGGCCCACGGACGATTTCTCGTTGGCTGTACTGAAACTCGGCACGGCATGTTTACATGCTACGAAACTTACAGGATTTTCGTGTGAATTCCCGACTTTGGAGGCTCCTCTTAGAACGTATGTCGAACTTTACCCTGATGGACGCACGATCATTGAGCAAAGTATCGAGGATTTAGAGGAAATCGAGGCAAAAGGCCGCTTCCCATTCGAGAAGGAAATCAAGGATGTTCGTGTGATTCTGGAACACTCTGGCGTAGAGATGGGCGGGGTAGTTCGTGGCGCAGATGGTATGCGCGCAATGTCCAATTTCTTTGGCACACTTTTCGAAATCATTTGGACGGTGGTAAGAGAAGCTGGGTTGTATGTATCCCGTTTTCTCCCTACGCCACCGACCTTTGTTCAGCAACTTCCACGTTATGTACGCCTTTTTTGGCATGGAACCAACGGCGAAGCGGAACGAACAGCACGTATCGCCCGCGAGCAATTGCAAAAAACACAAGCACTCCGTATGCATCAACGCTTAGATCATTTGCGCCAACAGCGATCTCTACATGCTGCACAGGAATCAGAGATGAATGGTTTAGATCCTTTGGAGCTAGTAGCTCTTGCTGAAGAAGCACAAAATCCCGAAGATGCTGCATCCTTCCATGAAACACTTATCCAACACATGCTTCGTAGTGACACATCACCGCCTTTAACTCGAAGCGCTTACAAGCAGCTTGCTGAGCCCAGCTCATTGTCATTATCTGACTCTGGATTCTCTGCCTTGTTTGCACGATCAAGACTATCATACTCTAAGGATTCTGATCAACAGACTCGCCTCGCTTTGATTCAGCTGTTACAAGAACGAAGAAAGGCTTTGCGAGCGAATGCGCCTAATGAATACGATCGCGAGCGGCTTCGCTTGTGTGTAGTGTGCTGTTCAGAGGAACGCACAATTATATGCTGGCCTTGCCGATGTGTTGCTCTGTGTAATACTTGCAGAGACACCATGGCCAATAAACAGCATGCACTACTTGCTCTGCAAACAGCCCATCGCCGCTCTATGCCGCTTTGCCCTACATGCCGGACCCCAGTTGCGGCTTATTCGCGGCTATTCCTTCCCTAGATGCACATAGACCATTCTCATAACTCCTCTATTTACAATACGACCCACCCTTTCCAACTGACTCCATCCTAAGCTATCGAAACGCCCTTTAGCCGTATGCTTAGTCAGCATCGCGTCGCGTCGCGGAGCTTCTGACGATGACGACCCAATTTGACAACGTGTATCATGGTTTAGGTAAGGCGTTGGGCAAGATTCGCTTCTCCAATGCTGGGTTAGGGTGGAAGCCACTTAGCGAAGGGTCCACGGTGACGATTCCTGCGGATCAGGTTGCAGGTTTCATTTGGTCTCGGTAGGTGTCCAACTAATGTATGCAGCGTAGCAAGGAATTTCCAACTACAAATCCGGTTAAAGGGCGACGAATCCGATGAAATGGCTCATATTGCCTCCTTTGAAAATTTTCAGCGTGAGGACCATGATCGTCTTGCCAAAACTGTCCGTGATTGCTATGACAAGCCGCTGGAAACACAAGAGATTTCTGTGCGAGGATGGAATTGGGGTTCAGCAGAAGTTGATGACCGTGATATGAAGTTTCTTGTCAGGGATAAGCTTGCATTTGCTTTGCCGCTTGCTACAATTGCGAATAGCAATATCGCTGGTCGCACAGAAGTATCGATGGAGTTCCTCAACCCGAAAGAACAGCAACCGGAGCAAAATACCGGTGCATCGTCCAATGCAAATGCATTACCATTCAACGGGCCGAAGAAAAACCGGCCTGATCAACTGGTCGAGATGCGCTTCTATATTCCAGGCCAGATCGACAAAGATGACTTAGACGATGAAGAAGCTGATCAGAAGCTCAACGTCAAGCCCGAGGAGGATCGCGATCAACTTCCAGACGAGAAACGCGAGGAAGAAGAAGAGGAAGAAGAGCTAAGTGCTGCAGCTGCATTCCACAACGCAATTCGTGCCAAGACCGATATCGACCAAGTGGCCGGCGACGCAATCTTGGTACTGAAAGAAGTGTTGGTTCTTACACCCCGCGGCCGCTACGATATCGATCTCTTTGCAGAATTTTTGCGTCTACGCGGCAAGACCTACGACTATAAAATCCTATACAGCTCCATTACGCAGCTTTTCCTTCTGCCGAAACCGGACGATATCCATGTGACGTTTGTCATTGCTCTTGAGCCGCCCATTCGGCAGGGACAGACTCGGTACCCGTTCCTTGTGTTACAATTTCCTCGTGAAGAGGAAATGGACGCAGAATTGAACCTGGACGAAGACGCTATCCAGTCTACTTATGAGGGCAAATTAAAAAAAAGGTACGAAGAGCCTACCTTTCGAATTGTTACCAATCTTTTCCGTGTGCTGTCACATCAGAAAGTCAATGTACCTACCGGATTCACGAATAGCATGGGCCAAGAAAGCGTACGTTGCAACGTCAAGGCGAACGACGGCACTTTGTACCCGCTCAACAAGAGCCTGATTTGGGTAAGCAAGCAAACGATTCTTGTGCCATACAGTGAAATCCACCAATTGGTCTTTAGTCGTGTTGGCGGCGCAATCGCCTCTGCCAAGACTTTCGATTTACGGATCGAGACACGGCACGGCGGCGATCATACTTTCCAATCCATCGCCAGGGAGGAACTGGATAGCCTGAACAACTTCTTTGCTGAGCGCAAGTTACGCATCAAGAACGAGTTGGCCGACGACTCAGCAGCCTTGAAAGCCGTAGATGACTTGCTCGACGAAGATGACCCCGTAAAGGCACTCCCTGATGACGATGATGACGACGATGACGAAGAAGGTATGTGGCTCTCTACTGACCTACAGAAGACGAAGACTTCGAGGGCGAATCATCCGATGATGGCGGAAGCCCTTCAGAAGGGTCTAGCGATAACGATCAAGATCAAGACTCGGATCACGATGAAAAACCTCCGAATCCCAAGAAACAAAAAACATAGCCTCCTTAGTTATTGTCATGCAATTGGAAATCCCACCTGAGATCGGGATCGGGTCAGAAACAGATTGTATTGCAATGCAAAGCAGTATGTCTGATGAGGTTTTGGTGGTAGGGATAGGGTTCGTACTTCCTTTGCTCATGAAAGTGGTCCAACAAGTTCGGGAAAATCGACCATTGTCCAGAATTTGGTCGCGATCTTGCAACCTTCCAGTGAGAGTTCACCGATCCACTCAGTACATGTATTACACCAAGACGATTTCTGTCCACCGCAGAATCAAATGCCTTACAATACAGAGTACAATGTGACCGATTGGGATACGCCGCACGGATCTGTAAGTCATGAGCATTTCACAAACACAGACCGACTATCGTCGCCTGGAACGCGTTATCCGCTATTTCTATCAGCACAAATCTCTTCCA